TCCATCCCCCTCCATCCCCAGTCCCTTACCACACCATTGTCCATGTCCTTGGGTTGTGCATATATGCATATAAGTTCTTGGGTTACTCTCTCGCCCTCCTCCATCCCTCTGACATTCGTCAGTCATCCATGCTTCCATGTCATTGAATCACTTCTGTTCTTTAGATTCCACATATAAGTTAGGTCAAGTGTGATGTTTGTCTTTCTCTGCCTGGCTTATTTCACTTACATAAAATTCTCCAGGCCCCTCCATACTGTCCCAAAGGGTAGGAGATCCTTCTTCTTTACAGCTGCGTAGTATTCCATGGTATAAATGTCCCACAGCTTTTTTATCCACTCAGCTACTGATGGGCACTTGGGCTGTTTCCAGATCTTAGCTATTGTAAACTGTGCTGCTATGAACATCGGGGTGCATATATCCTTTCTGATTAGTGTTTCAGGATTCTTAGGATACATTCCTAGAAGTGGGATCACTAGGTCAAAAGGCAGCTCCATTTCTAATTTTTTTAGGAACCTCCATACTGTTTTCCATAGTGGCTGCACCAGTCTGCATTCCCACCAGCAGTGCACTGGGGTTCCCTTTCTCCACACCCTCCCCAGAACAAGTTTGTTGATTTGTTGATGGTGCCATTCTGACAGGTGTGCAGTAATACCTCATTGGGTTTTAATTTACATCTCTCTGATGATTAGCAATTTTTGTGGAGCAAATAGTGCTTGTAGAAGACCTGCACCTTTTAATTATATACCAGTAATTGAAAGTTACAATTTTGGAGTGTTTTATAGGATTATAAAATTATAGCTAGAATTCTTTGGGTATTTCTTGGAAATGAAACTGCAGTTATTAGACTTAAGCATTTTAAAAGCATATCACTTACTAGTCTTGTTCTGTTGATCTCGTTTGTTATGATTTCAAAAGTAATGCATGTTTGCTGTATAAAAATTGGTAGATTCAGAAAAAGTGTAAGAGTTAAATAATCCGCCCTGGTCCATGTGGTTCAGTTGGTTGGGCTTTGTCCTGTGCATGGAAAGGTTGCCAGAACCAGGTCAGGGCACATGCCTGGATTGCAGGCTTGATTTCCGGTAGGGAACATGCAGGAGGCCTCCAATCAGGGTTTCAATTTCAGTCTCACATCGATGTTTCTCTCTCTCTCTCTCTCTCTCAGCACATATTTGTAGTGGTTTTGACTTATAGAAGTTCTATACTTTAATGTAGCCAAATTTGTTGACTTTCTCAAAAAAATTTTAACACCCCTGAATCATAGCTTAAGAGCTATGTGTGACTGTGGCAGAAGATGACTTTTGAAAGAATTCCATCCCCCTGACCACCCCCCAAATTCTAGTTTAGATTCTTTTCAAATCCATTATAAGAACCCGCATGTCCTGCAGTAGAGACTGTTGCAACACAGTTTGTGTTTGTTGATGAGCAATAGTTGTGCACGGTATACCACTAGGAACAGCATTCTTCCAAATAAGATCAGAAAGTTTTAAATCCCAGGGAAGGAAAGTCTGTCAGACCTGTTGTTCTTTGATTATGTAAACTAGGCTCACAACCCATTTATTTTCAGTAGTTCACCTGTGGTATTAGTATTTTGCCAGAATTCTTTTTATATCCATTATTGTAGTTTTGGCTTGTTGATGTGAGTCTTTCCTGATGTCCAGTCGGGTACATATGTCGTTTATAAATTTTCCCAGCCTGATTTCGAACACAGCTCAGAGAGTAAACTACTTATTTGAAGAAGGGAAAGTCTTTTTTATCTCCCAAACTTGAGTTATCTTTCCACACTAGGGAAGCTTAACTATACCCTGAGGACTTGTGAGTGTTCTCCATCGGAGCCCGGGTCCCTTTCTTTCACTCTCCATCTTTCAGAGCCTCAGAACAAGCCAGGGGACCAAATAAGAGCCGGACGATGAGGTCAGTGCGTGGCGAGTGTGTCTGGGGACACTTAGAAATGGGCCCAGACTCTCTCTTGAGGCAGCTGGCAGCTAGCTGCTTGGGCAGTGGTGGCTTGTGGTCTGCAGAGGAGTGACTGACTGGAGATGAGTGACCTCATTGTTTTTTGTTGTTGTTGTTATTGTTTTTGTTTTGTTTTTTTAAGAAAGAGGGGTTAGATGATACAGTATGGCCTTGGCAAGCCCGCTTTGACCAGGCTTCTTTATCCGTGGCTTAGGGCTGTCCAGTATGACCAGGAACTGAGTTGGACTGTCAGCTACTACTTCTAAAGATGTATTTCTAAACCAAGTTTTATATAACACTACCCTGATGATATTTTTTAAAATGACCTCAATCTTCTTTGAAAGCAGCAGTTATTACTTTTATGTGGGCAGTTATCCATGATATTAATGCTTGACTTTTTCTTGCTTGCTTGGCTCAAGATGAAAAGGACTTTTCCATTTTGGGGATGATGGATTTGGGGGCTAATCCTTATGACGAAGACAGATACAATAAAATTTCACTCTCAGAGACTGGAACCTGATTTGCTATTTGTTATTTCCCTGATGGCTTTTATGCAATCAAGGAAGAAATGCCCAGCCAATTTAGAATGTAAACAAAGTTCAATCCAGAGGTGTTTTACTTAGGTAAATAGCTTGGAGCACTTCTCAAGTACATATTTGCATATAAATCTTTGATTCCAAAACTTTACTTTTGTTCTTTAAATCTAGTAGCTTTTCCTTGGCCTTCGGTTTAAGCCCCATATTGAAGAGAAATAAAAATGTATTTGCTTAAAGGTAAACTGGTTTTAAGTCTTGTTAATAGGCCCACACTTAAATTAATGAATGTTCTTGTGTGCCCATTACTTACAAGAGTAAAAGTAAGAAAAACCACTCATCCTGCCTTCATTCTAACCTGTAGGTTTTATTTCACTTTGAAGTTGTAAAACTAAGAGAGTTTTAAAGTCATTTCCAGTTTCTCTTGAGGAAACGTGTACTTTTTAGTAGGGTTGAATAGATTCCCTTTGAGCAGGTTATAAGTTTCTCCAACCAGCTGGAAAGGGCAAAGGGGTCCCAAGGAAATGACTTCCAGGTAGTGTGGTTTTGTCTGAAATTGTGCTGATTTCATGTTTCAGTAAGAGTTGTGCTGAGCAGAAGGCAGGCCTGGCCAGTTTCCCACTGTGAGCCCACAGCAAGTGGAAAGTGGAAGAAAACACTGGGAACTGTCAGTCTTCTAGGGAAGGTGCCGTGGAAAGAGGGGCTTAAAGCCGTCAAATTACCTTGTTCTTTTCAAGACTTTAAAATATTTCTACCTTGTCAGTTTATATTTAAGCTCAATGCAAAGAAAAGAAAATTAGTGTTAAGGTTTGAGGGCCTATCAATCATAATTACCCTGATCCTCTACAATTAGCTGAAACATTTTAGGACATTTTGTGACCTAAACTGCCATTGAGGAAAAGAATTCTCTCTGGGAGAGTTACACTTATCAGAAGAGCAGGAAGGAGAGGGGGAAAACTACATTCTTTTGTCAATAAATATATAGCCTAAATGATGTTTATGACAGTGTTCATTGAGCCTTGACTGCCGGGTTAGCTTGCTTCTATACTTTTGGAAACTTGGTTAATATTTAACTCTGGCATTATTTACTTACAGGCCGGTTCTGAAGGAAAAGTCAATATTTCTTCACTTTTTTCCGGATAAGCAGTCTGGACATACAGTGTGTTTAGTAGTGTTCAGTGATAAATGAGAAGTTCTCTCTTATGTTTATCTTACAGATTGTTTCGATGGTGGTTAACAATGAAATCAGGTTGAAACCATATGCCCTTTTAAAACCTAGGTCACTTGGTGAGCTTCTGGAACAAAAATAGAAGCCAGTATAGATGTAAGCACTCTAAGAGACGGCATTCAAACGTGGACTCCCCCTGCCCCAACCACTGTGTCAGGTTGATTGGGTTGTACTTACCAGAATAACTACTGGTTAAATCACTTTGTACTATAAAATGTCCATATGTTATTATACAGTCAACCAGTGCACCGTAGGCCTCTCAGTTTTAGGCAAATTAAAGAACTGAACCATATTTGCACATTTCTACTAAGCTAACCCAGTAGACTATAATACCAGAGAGGGTTGCGGAATCCTAGTTGCTGGTGAGAGAGTGAGAAAGATGGGAGAAACGGGAATGGGTTACAAAGGGTAAATTTTCTACTAAGAAAAATGCACTTGTTTTATTAGATCCTCAATCTCGACCCTTTATGTAGAACCAAGTATGTCTAGGGTATAGTTAGGATTATATTTTCATCTTAAATGGTAAATAAAAGGCATGAGGAAAAATCCTTGCTGTTAGACTCTTAAGTTTGATTTCCATGAGCCCCAAACCAGGCATTGAGCACTTTCTATGGGCTGAACTCTCTGCAAAGTAGAAGGGCTGAGATATGGAAAAAACTGGGCCCTATTTCTCGGGGGAATCTGTCAGAAAAGCCTCAACCATTGTGGAAAGCGCAGTTTTGGAAATTTTAGTAAGTGTTGAGGTGGTTAGAAATATTCTACCAAGTCGTTACCTTGCGCCACACCCTGGGGAATCTGCCTGCCAACTTGACCACGCTTTTGTAAACCTAAGGCCGTTTTGCCGATTTTAGTTCTTTAAAGGCCCGTGACCTTTGATCACTTCTCTCTTTTCCTTCTCGCCAGGAGAGTGGAGAGGCAGGACACTTAGCCTTGCAGTCTGTGGTTTCACCTCCTGTCTCCGAATAATCTTTTTAGTGACCTTTCCCAGTCTCTCTCTGTTACATCTTGTGTGTCTCTTGAGAACGGGCTCTGAACCTTGTGATGCTGGATACATTTGCACTTTTAGACTGACTTGTATGGATGTCGCATGTCGCCTGGAATGAGTGGCCCAGAGCTCTGGTGGCATGGAGTCTGAAATTCTTCAGTTCGTCACAGCTGCTAGGAGGCCTTTTAGGCCAGAGATAGGAGTGCCCGCCTTGCGTCCCCTGCCCTTGCCCTCTGTGCCCTCCTCTCCTCGTGCCTTGCCCCTTACCCACTGTGATGCGTGTGGCAAGCAGAGAGGGAAGCAGCTCAGCCTGTGGAGCCGGTGCCCTGCGTGTTAGGCTAACCTAGAGCTGGAAGGTGCGAGGCTCCCCTTGCTTCTGAGCGATAATTCTGTGTTTGATCAAGTACCTGCCCTGCCCATGTGCAAATACTTGTACAGAATCCATTCCACGTGTGAGAATTTGTGACATTCCCCATGTGTGCAGAGTCACAAGTTGACAATTGCTCATGAATAGAGACTTGGGCTGTTTCTTATTTAGAGAAATATGTATTTACATTTTAAAGAAGAATTCAGATGAATTTTTCAGTCTGGGATTGTTCTTTCTCTTACTGTATTAATAAGATGAGTGTTTCACAGCGGTTTTGCATTTCTGGAAAACTTTTTGATGGTTCACTAGAATTGCTGGTTATTGAATTTGATTTTAATAATCTCAAGTAGGGACTCTTATTGTTTAATGCTTAAAAATTCCTGATGTTGCTTTACAGAGATATTCATGACAACTCTGCAGGGGTATCTACTAATTCATTTTTATTCCGAGATAAGAAGAGTAAGTGTAGTCAATGAATAGGGGGAAGAGATAGGAAATCTTGCATTCTCTTTTTATACAAAACCTTAAGTGATTTTATACTGCACATATGAGTATTATGGTATGCAATGTTGGCTATATCTTGTTACACTAAATATTTAAAATTTATGACCTTATAGGTACATAGTCAAATGAAAATTATTTTCTACTTATTATTTTTTAAATATATCCTTATTGATTTCAGAGAGAGGAAAGGAGATGGAGAGAGAGAGAGAGAGAGAGAAGAACATCAATGATGAGAGAGTTATTGATCGGCTGCCTCCTGCACGCCCTTGACTGGGGATCGATCCTGCAACCTGGGCACGTGCCCTGACCAGGAATTGAACACCGATCACCTGGATCCTAGGTCGACGCTCAACCACTGAGCCACGCCCGGCCGGGCTCTACTTATTTTGTATAAACGAAAGCCTACTGGGCAGGGTATTGCTTTTTTCCTCTCCTTCCTCTGTTTTTTGTTTGTTTGTTTTTAATTTGGAGTAATAAACCAAACAGAGGCATGTCAGCATTTTGCTAGATTTTGCTCAGCCCCATGACCATTATGAAACCTTGGAGACATACTTGGGTATAGAACTGGAAAAAATGTTAGTGGTATCCAGAACATTTGGTACAGAAATGTGACGGAGTGTGCACAGACTTCTGAGTTAGGCCACTCTGGGTTCCTGTCTGAGGTCTTCTGTGTCTGGCCATGTGATTTTCAGTATGTTACCTCATTGTGGCTTTGCAACCTCTTGGTTTTCTTGAAGGTTTGAGTTTAGTGAGTTGCCGATATTTTGTTATATTTGAGCTGCATTTTTTTTAAATCAAAGCAGATACTTTCATCTTTGCTGAAGTCTGTAAATTATGTTGCTGGTTTGCTATCAGCACATTCTAAAAGCACTCAGAGTTGAGTCATCACTTTGAACCAATAAAGCACTTGTGGCTTTTAAAGTGTTGCCATCCTCTGTTCTAATCTTTAACGTGTAGTTTAGTCCACCAACGTTTATATTTAAGAGGTTTGGCTGTAAAATGTTGCCATTCATATATTTAAGGACTAAGGCAGTTCTGAATTTTCATTTTTTAAACAAAATGTAGTAATAAATCCATGTGTTTGTGGAAAGTACCTTGTAAATACCACATTAAGGACATTTTCATTCAGTTATCACGTCAACCCTGCGAGGTGGGCAGGGCAGGTTGCGAGAGCCCTGATTTTTACGGGAGGAGGGTGACTGGAACTATTTGGTTAGATGTTTTGTATGCTGACAAGTAAGCTGTGGAACTAGGACAAGGACCCGGGTCTTTCTTCCCTCCTGGTCCATTCCCTGCGACCAGTGTGACACTGTTACTTGACTGTTTTTAATTCTATAAGTA